ACAAACTTGGAACATTTGATATATAAAATGATTCAATGAATGAATTTTGTAGAGTATAAAAAAAAGAGTATTGAATAAAGCATTGGTGATGTTGGCTAATGATAACTCTCATAAGCATGATGTTTGGTGCATAATGAATATATTATAGGGTTTGATGGATATTATTATATTATATAATACTATTATACTAAATATAAATTATATTATACATTATATATGTTATTCAGGTCGAATTCAGGAAGGATACGGATTGAGGACCCCTATAGCCATATCCAAAACCATAACCAAATAAAGTTCACGATTTTTCCCCATATCCATAATATATCCGAATTTTCATACCCAAATCTACTCTCTTCAAGTGGTTATCCACAATTATCAGGTTTAACGGTTTGAATTTTCATCCCTAATTGTGAAGAAGTGTTATACTTGTCAGGTTTCACAGGGGCAAGTCCAAAATACTGGCCTTTACATGCCACTACCTATTCCTAACAATATTTGGGAGGACATTGCTATGTATTTTGTGCTCGGGCTACCTCTAATGCAAAGAGGAGTGGATTTAGTTTTTATAGTGGTTAACAAGTTCTCTAATATGGGTCATTTCATTACTTGCAGAAAGACCGTTGACACATCAAACATAGCCAAACTGTTTTTCAAGGAGGGTACCTAAGTCTATCACTTCCGATCGAGACACCAAGTTCGTGAGTCATTTCTGGATTCTATTATGTAGGATGTTTGGGACTACTTTGAATTGAAGTACTACTGCACATCACCAAACTAACATACAAATGAAGGTCACCAATAGACTCTTTGGCAACATGGTTCGAAGCAGTTGTGGAGAAAAGCCGAAACAATGGGACTATGCCCTGCCTCATATGAAGTTTACTTATAACAGCGCCATGCATCGTGCTATGAGAAAGTCACTTACACTGTTGTTCCTCACCATGTGATGGACTTGGTGAAACTGCCTAGGGGAGATGGAGTTAGCATTGCTGCATAAAATATGATAGAAAATGTGGTGGCAGTTCGTGAAGAAGTTAGGCATTCGAGCTTTTTTTTCATGCTTTTTCCAGAGGTCTGGAGAAAGCTGCAATCAATAGGATTTTCCTAATCCTCCTTTCCCGAAAGGAAGAACGTGAAATTCTTTTTCCTTTCCGCAGAGACCAGGAGATTAAATCTAGCTGTAAAAAGAATGCTTGGCTAATAAATAGCCCACTTCTTAGTCTTCAATCCCCTCAGTCACTACGAACGCCCCCGATCAATGCAATGGGATGTGTCTATTTATCTATTTCTTGACTCAAAATGGAAGCAGGTTTGAAAAAGGATCTTAGAGTGTCTAGGGTTGGGCCATGAGGGTATCTTAATGCCTTCTTTTTTCTTCTCATCTGGTTCAAGTCTAGAGGCTTAAACAAATCAATGCCAAGTATAAGCAAGCAACAGACATACACCGGTGAGTTAAAAGTGTTTAAAGAAGAAGATTATGTCGTAGTGTTCTTGAGAAGATAACATTTCCCTACTAGAACTTACATCAAGTTAAAACCATGAAAGTATGGTCCATTCAAAGTTCTTAAGCGAGTTAATGACAATGCTCATGTTATTGATTTGCCGAATGCTACGGAAATTATCAATACTTTCAATGTTGCTTATGTGTATGAGTTTAAGGACGATGAAGTTCTTTATCTTGACCATAACTCGGGGTCAAGTTTTTCTAAAGTGAAGGGAGATTGATGTAGAACAAATGGTTGAATGGATGGAGGAGAAGATGAACTGTCGGAAGACAAAAGGCGTGGTCATAGAAGAGGTGTTCTTTTCCCATAAAAGTCGCTTGAGCCATCTTTCGTAGAAACTTGTTAAAGCAATTCTCCCACAAAAGTGGCTTAAGCCATCTTTTGCAAAAATTCGTCAACAATAGTAGCCTACTAATAAATGGAGCACTTTATTATTTGTCTTTTGTGATTTCGACGGCTTTGTTATTTGTCTCTTAGTTTTTCAAGGGTTTTATTGCTTGTCTTTTAGTTTTCTTGAGCAAACCTTTATAAATTGTTTTTAGGCCGTATTGATTATCAAATTTTCAATTAAACAACAACCCTTTGAGATTTCTCTCAAACTGGTGGACTCCATAATTTTATTCTCGAAAGATTTACGCTTGTAATCCTTACTAACTTCGTGATGTGCCACAATGGTGTAGTTTTGATTGCCTTTTCTCATTTGGGTGGCATAGGCTCTTGTTTGGGGTAGTAATCATGTTTCGAAAGCAAAGTCCTCTAAGAGATCGCGGAGGAACGGCGAAAGACTATTGCTTAAGTAATGCTCTATTACATTGTCATTCATTTTTTTAATTTGTTACGAGGATGTGTAGAGCTTAGGGAATTGAATGATCATAAAGTCCATGGCTATACAAATCAATGATGGTAAGGTTACTTGATTTACAAGAATACAAAGACAACTAGGAGAAGAAATCCAACCCTAACCCTAAACTTGTGGTACTTTGGTAGGTATGTATTAGATGGGTGTATCAAACAGGAGCAACACTTGTCGTTAAGAGCTACAACAAGGAGAGGTTGAAGCAAAATTTCTACATCTTTGACTGGGAACTATCTAAAACAGACATTGAGAAGACCAACGGAATCCAGCAACGCAAAATGATACTCAAAGAAGACCTAGTTTCAGTGAATGGACTGTCACCATACAAGCCACTTCAAGATTTATGGGATGTTGAGCTATAAGCAGATTTAGGAAAGAAGAACATATACTACGACAATGAAGATTTCATTTGATCATTTCTGATTCCCATAAATAAAAAATTCACTAAAACACAAGATGAAAAACAATCGAAATTACAAAGACAGTTGTTTTCGACTCTAATATGACGGTAGTGGCCAAAGTGGTGTGTTGAAGAAACAGTTGAAGAGGCTGGTTAGGGAAATTTTCCATGATGAAGAACAGTGGGTTGAAGGGTGTATTAATATAAAAATGGTCTATGCATTGGGTCTACGGCTTTTCTTCACTAAACAAGGGTGGTTCTGAGCGAATCGTAGCCAAAGAACGGTGGAACATTCTGGCTGACCGTCATGCAGACGTGTCGGGCTACAACCAATCTGGAATGGTCTTACGATCCATTTGTAGTGATGACTTAAGGACAAGGACAAGATCCTTTGAAGAATGCCAACTCAAAGCATCTCATAAGTTGATGTCTTCATAGGGTTTCTTTTGTTTTATTTAAGGATGATGCTAAGAGACCAAATTTCTAGACTAAATTTCTAAACCAAATGATGTGTCATCAATAGGAAATAAACATGTTAACTATCACTTAAGTAATAATTAATCATCAACATTCACATCATTTGATTTACAAAATTTGGTATAGAAATTGTATATGCTTGGCATTACTCTTTATTTAATGGTGTTTCATGTAATTTTTAATTGACTATACATTTTTCTAGACTTATTATATTTATTTATAAAGATTTTTTTTTATTTTAACTAATTAACTACGAGGGTATATCCGTCTTTAAGGGGATTATGTGAAAGTGAATAAAACCTCATGAGGGTGTAGTGATATTTCTTAAACGTAAGAGATTGTGTGAAAATAGGAAAAACCTCAGGAGATGTTAGTGTTGTTAGCAAAAATCATACGATAGATAACATTATAGATAACATTGGCGTACTTTTTGTTTCACATGTCATGGTCTTATTGATGACTATAACCTACAAATGTGGTCGTTACCACACTAAATCACTTTTCGTTTTAGAGACTTGAGGCTCCACCTTCTCTCTAGAAAAAATGATCTCTTTGCTGAAACACTAACCCAGTATCCTCCTTCAATGCCGACCCTAGCCTTTCGCTTGGGGTGGGGTGGGCAATGTTAACGGAGAGTTAACGGTAAAGCTAATGTTAGGCATGAATCTTAACGGATTTTATCAAGAGGGTATAAATCCGAATTTTTTCACCATGGAGGTTATTTTTCGATTACCTTATTACCACAGGGACCATTAATCCAATTTATATAGCCATTTTTTAAAACAGTAAAAACCCTAACTACTACGAGATAGACAAACCAAGAAAACATATTCCGATGAACTGATACGCAGATGACAGACAGACTAAAGCAAGTTTGATCCAGCAGATTGAATCCGGAAGGATCATACCCGCTTTGATACCAAGTTGAAAACCAAGGTACGCGTAACAAACAAACGATCACTATGAAACTACGAGTATTATTTATAACAAAGAATGCCGAGACGGCTATCTATATGACTACATCTTTTCTGACTTGTCCACAAGTGAATAACATGTATCATATTTATAATAAATTAATCTCTAATCTCTAAACAAAAACCTAATCCTAACCGGCTGGGCCCAAAGAGTATAGGGTAATTACGGGATGATTTGAGATTCTGGTAATTTTAAAAAAAACCAACTTATTAAAAAATCCAAAACAACAAATGTGTTTGGTAAAACAAAAACAAAAAAGTGTTTTTTTCTTTTTTTAAATTGTTGTCAGTGATAGGGGCAAAACATAAAAAAGTAGAAGCACAGTCTACCATGCTTCTAAAAAAAATGTTTTTTTTTTTCAAAGCATAGTAATTAGTGTCCGTTAAATGATATTTTCTAATAGCAAATATACTCCCGCATATTTTATAAATTACAAACTTTACCCCTACAATATTCTCTTTGGCAATTATTATATCACATTAAATACCACATCTTTTTTAGTCATTTAACATATTCACGATAATTTTATATAAAAGTTTACAAAACATCCATATGTAATTTTTATTTTTATTTTTTGTTAAAAGCACTATTACCAAAAAAAAAGAACAAAAAGAAAAAAAGAGTTTACCAAACACTTAATAACTTTATTTTTCAGCTATTTATTCTCACAGTACAGCAGAAACAGTTTTTAAGTACAGCAATAGTAAACTAGCCGACGATATAAATTGGCAAAGTAACTGAAATACGAAGAGTGTTAGAACTGAATTCGAATTCCAAACTCAAAGAATTTAGTAGAAGCTACCGCATGTTATTTCCTACTTCATGCAACAAAAATACAAATGATTACATCGATTACAATGATCATTTGACCAAAAAGAAAAGATTGCATTGATCACTATAAATCAACGTTCTCGATTATATGCTCTAGACAAGGAAGAACTGCTGGTACTGCAAATGCTACAATGCCATGAGCTTCTAAATTTGGTTCCAATACTTAAAATTACACAAAATAAAAGAGTTTTCAAACCAATTTATTTATAGCTCCAAGTCCCTAAACCGTATGTGCCTTCGATAACATACTTCTTCAATGTATTTGACATCCTCTGTGATAATACAGCAAACGGAAAACCACCAGGCCACGGGGGATTTCACAATTTCCTGTCTACGGTCATGGACCAGGCCACGGGGGATTTCACAATTTCCTGTCTACGGTCATGGCTGAATTATTGCCATTAGCTGAGGAAGGGGCAATGTTGGCACCCATGGCTACGACATCGGAATCCTGAACTCCGCCATCAATCTGATTTAAAACAAAAACAAAATGAACCCATGAAGGAATTCCAGGTATAAAAAAAATAACAAGAATTTCTTTATCTTCTTTCGGGGGTGCTTGGGGTGGTGTACCTGTTCAATTCCCTTTAAAGAAGGATCCTGGATACCTACATTTAGAACCTTAGGAACACCTGTTAGAGATCCCTGCAAAATGTTGAGCATACAGTGTAAGATGAGCGAATAATTACCAGCAATTACTTCCTATAAAGTTTTAGGATCCACCACCACAGAGGTGTCAAACACCATCAAAAATATATACTTCACAAATGAGATGCAAAGTGGCTGAAATGGTCTTAGCCTAAGGATTAGTAAACATACTCCCTTTCAGGAACATTTAAATGGATTCAAAAACATTGTTCGACAATGCATTTTTTATAGAGGATAATTCATCTGCGTGTCAGGTCCAGTTCTGCTGTACACTTGATCTAATTAATTCACTTGCTTATCTCTATCTATCCACAGATAAGGGATGGAGTGAAAACATGAAGTCCCACATTGGGACATTCTAAACACTTTCATTTCAGTATGTAACATTGAAAGTCTCTCCTCTTATTGGTAATTGCTTTTGGGTCGGACGCTCTAACTGGTTAAGTATTTTATTAAGGTATCTACTAGGCCCTAAACCATGGAATAACAACAGAGTAGTAAGTTCATCCTATGTTTCCTACTAACTGTTTGGATTTTCATCCAACAAATTCAACTAGGAATGTTGTATTTATGTGTCATAAGTGTTTTATTAAGGTATCTACTAGGCTCTAAACCATGGAATGATGTGTCTAAGATTTGAAAAACTCCTATGTACACATATGCATACACCCACAAACAGGTCTTGCAAGTAACGAAATTAGTAACCAATCCAAACTGATATATCCATGATTACAATATACCCATCAGAATTTGCTAGCCAGCTCTTTCCTTTCCAGACTGAGACTTTGTAAGCTGACAAGAATTTTTGTTCTGACCTTGGACAACTTGTCTACTATTTAAAGAAAAACATTCCCACTGCAAGGCGTTTTTACAACAGTGGAATAAAATCTAAAGGAGGAGAAATGGTTACTTGTTTCAACTAAGAACTTGTAGACCAAATAGTTGCTCTCTGCTAAGGTCCCCAACAGGAAGTTCTTGGATTTGATATAAATGACTGAAATGCATTAAGATGCAATGACCAATTGTGTATTTAAGCCATCCATAAAAGAATCCAACACTTCTACTGAGGAAAAGTGACATAAGCAGTGAAGAAGAAAATAGAATTTAACCTCAACCTCTCAAAACACTTGTAAGTGAAACAAAAGAATGCAGAAGTGGAGATCATGGAGAGAATCCACTTCTTATTGTGCGTTCATTTCTTAATGTTTCATGTGTGGCTATAGGTATATTGTCTCTCACAATTAGATGGATCTGTTTTCTCTCATTTACGTGATTGAATATTCCAAAAGAGAGTTATGACAGCACAAACAATATAATGTCTCATTTGCACTCATATATAACTTTTTAATTATGCCTACATCGTAAAGAGGATTAAAAGACAAAATAACTAAGGATTTATAAATCCGACAGACCTTGTTGGCCCACTTCAGCCCACATGCATTACATAGAGTCCTTGGGCCTGCTGGCCCACGACGCATCATTGGAGTTGACTTTGAGCTTATCCCACAATGTGTACACCTGAAACGGCATTAAGCATTATGTTTCAGAACACAGAGAATGTTAGTATTTATCTTGAAACAACGAATACACAAATTAGAGTACAAAACCTGCATCTCAATGTCAAAACAGCATCTCTTTGACTCTTTCAAGGAGAATGAAGACTAGACCGGAAATTCAAAAAAATTATATAACGGCCCTGAACCTTATGACCTATCCTAAAAAAATAAAAATCTAATCGTACTCAGAGCATAATCAACAATATATGAAGATGGATTGACACTTACGAAGTTTCCTGCATGCTCTCATCTTGTCCAGAGCCCTGTGTTGATGAAGCAGGGCCTCCATCATCAGAACTACCCTTGGACGATGTAAATTGACCCTTCTTACGCTGCATTCTGAAATATGTACACATCGTATATTATAAGATGGCCAGGACAAAAAGGATTCTGGAACAACACAAATGTCAATTCATTAAAAAAAAAGCGTCGGACTGAGTGACAATTCCTATTCCATTAATGTTTTCCTTAAAAAGAGCTGTCCTTCAGGTCTATGATAACTACAGAAATCCTGACCTTCAATTTTGTTTCATATCCATGCCATTTGCACTGTGGTATAGAAAGGCCTTATGAATGAGATAACCTTTACATTTCACTTTAAAAGTACTCAACTGAAGAAAGAAAAAAATTGTAAAAAAAGTTTCATATACAAAAGATCCACTAGAATTTCCAAATAGAAGACCAGTCTTTTGCAAACACATTCATATGCGCTACGAGCTTATGGTAATGTCCTGACAAAATGTTATCTATTTATTTCCTCAACGTCCTATTGCTTTAGATTTGTGTATGAACTTGTGTTTAGGAAAGGACTGAGGTGATAATTCCAGCTGATCGTGTATCTATTTCCTGGGAGAAACTTAACTCTTTGGGGAAGGAAAAAAGGTAAAGGTTACATGGATCCATGCACTGTTGGCGATGATCTAGTTTGGGTTGGAGAGAAGAAACATAAGAACTTTTTAAAGTTATAGAGAAGTGGTGAAGGTTTTCTGGGATGAAGTAAGGTTTTGATCCTTTGAGCTTCAGTTTCTTCTGAGTTCTGGGAACTATTGTCTTTCATTTTATTTTTCAGACTCGAGGGCTGTTTTTAATTAATTTTAGGAATGCTTTTTTTTTTCCTCTCTTACTTAATTTAAGCAAACTGAAAATAATATGTATAGTTGAATATTAAAAGATATATATGTACATCAATCTGTACAACAAATTCCTCTAAGAAAGATATCTTAGTGTTGTTTATAATAATACAGATCGCTTGATGATAAGCATACCAACATCAAGACCATCAAACACTAATGACCGCACTTACATATTATACCAATCCTCATTCTTCAGTATATTTTGTCTCAAAATATAAAAATAAAAACAACCACATAATCAGAAATGGTTGTGGTAGACAACGTTAAAAATCATGATATACATTTCCAAAGGAGACAGTGTCTTTGTAAGAGGAAGGAAAAAGAATTCTCAATTCAGAAAAGATAAGAAAAATGAAATAATGAAAGTAAAGGATCATGCCGAACCTGAGTGCAACTTCTTTCCGCACGGTGTAACGGATTTTCTTATCAAAACAACGTTCTTTTCTCTTCTCGCGAAACCGACTTAAAGAAGCAGCTCTCTGCGGTTGAGTTGGCCTTGCAGGTAAGTCATTCATACCCTGGAAGGAATGCCATTATAGCAGCAAGCAAAGTGAAGAAAGTTAACATGAAAACTACAATTTCTAGGAACTTGGCATGATTTATACGTATCTAAAAGTACCAACTTGCTGGTTAAGAGGAACTGGCCCCATTGAAGGAATGCCAGAAGGGATTTCATATCCACCCAAAAGCAGCAGTACTGCCTGCACCTGTGAAAAAGAACCACAAAAGCTCAAGCTTCTTATGTAACCCTCTCTCATTAACACCTGAAGCACCTATTTTGATTCGTATGACAGGTTTCCCGTACATATAAAACCTAAATAAATAAGTTGCCCAAACAATGCTCAGCAAACACTGAATCACTGAAAAAAATATATATATTTGCTTGCTACATAACATAATGAAACAAAGAACCGCTCCATTGTCGAAAATTTCATTGAAAGACTAAAAACCTTTAATTTACAAGCCATTGTCCAAAATAACATGTTTTCTTCCGCAGGACAAGTTTACAAAAACCTCTCACACCATCCGCGATAATCAAACCAATAGGCCACATAACTCTTTTGAAATTCAACTGCTAATAAATCACGTAAATGAACTACCTTTTCGCGCATGACAAAGTAAACACCAAAAATGTACGCATTACGGAAGTGCAATGAAACACACATCCTTCATAAATGCAGCTACTTAAACAATAAAGCATGACTCACAAGTTCCCCTAATAAAAATCAAACTTTCAGAGAAGAACAAGACATATCAGGTATAGCATATAGAACAAAACAACAAAAGAAAAACATATAAAGGAATGCGAAACTGCTGCATGTGAATCACTACCGCTGCACAACTCGCACAAGTTGAGCACTAAACCTTACCTTGTCGGGCGAAACAGCGTCGAAGACATAAACCTCGCCATGAAACGAGAGAGTTAGCTGATCAGAGGCACCGTTTGCCGCCGCCGGCGGAGGATATTCGGAGCTGGGAAGGTAGAGTTGATTTGGAGGAATGGCGGTACTATCTTCGAAGCGTATGTTAGGGTTGTCAATGGGCTCTTCAACGTCGTCGTCTTGGTCGTCAACTTGGTTACTCTGCGTCACTCCTCCTGTGCTGCTGTAAATTGAATTCTGGTGCTCGGACTCTGCCATTTCAGATACGAAAAAGACAACCCAGAACCCCAACCTCCAATTCACACACAAATACTAAGTTGATTGAAAGCAATCCAAACCCTAATTTTGATTTCCTTAATTTTTTAATTAAAAAAAACAAGAGAAATTTTTGTCTGAGAGCAAAAGAGTGAGGACCATAATTTGGGAATTCAATCAGCAATGGGAGATGGGAGCCAGAGGTTGAGGATGACGGGTTCGGGAAACGAACCTGCAAGTTTTTCACATTTACAGATATACCACTGACTTGGACAATTATTATTATTTTATTTTTTTTACACGAGGACAGTGTAAGTTAATTTTAATTGGAATTTAAATTTCTTTAATACAGATTTTGTTAATTTCAAGGGTAAAGTACACAAAACTACCTCAACTATTGGTGTCATGACACTTTCATACCTCATCTTTTAAAATTGACAATGTCATACCTCATCTTACGAATTTGTGCCAATATTATATCTTCCGTTAGCCTACCGTTAATTTGTCAGTTAAATATTAAAATAATAAAGAAAAGTTAAAACAAAAAAAAATCAGAACCTTTCGTCCCATCCACCCCCTCCCCCTTCTCTCTCTCCCCATCTTCTTCTTCCCTGCGTGATTCAACCAAAAAAAAAAATTTGAAAACTCATCAACCCCCAAACCCCCCCACCCCCCCCCTCCCCTGCGGAGAAGGAGGAAGAAAAAAATAAAAAAATAAAAAAATAAAAAAAAATCCCCAACCCAGTTCGTCCCCCCCCCCAACACAAAAAACCAAACCCAGTTCGTCCCCTCCCAAAACAAATCCAACCCCCTGCCAACCCAGAAAGAAATAGAAGGAGGAGGAGGAGGAAGAAGAAGAAGAAGAAGAAAAACCCAAATCTCGTTCGCCGATTTTGCAAGGGGAAGGTGCGAGGTTGGGTGGGTGCGGAGGGTGGATGCGAAGGGAAGACGAACTGGGAATTTTTTTTTTTTCTGGGTTGCAGGTAGGGGCTCGGGTGGGGGAGAAGAGAGGGGGGATAGGGGAGAAGAAAGAAGGACGCGGGGGGAGGGTGGGAAGGGATGAAGTTCTTTTTTTTTTTCTTTTTTTGTTTCTGGGTTGCAGGCTTGCAGCAGGGGGTGGGGGGTGGGTTTTCTTCTTTTGTTTTCTAGGTTGCATGCAGCAGGGGGTGGGGGGTGGGTTTTCTTCTTTTGTTTTCTAGGTTGCAGGCTTGCAGCAGGGGGTGGGGGGGATGGGGAAGAAGAAAGAAAGACGTTTTGCAGGGGGAGGGATGGAGGGAGGGAAAGGGTTGTTTTGTTTTGTTTTTTGTTTTTTTTTTTTTTTTTTTTTTTTTACTTTTCTTTATTATTTTAATATTTAAAAAATATTAAATGATTTTTTTTTAGTTTTTAATAGTATTTTATTAATAGAAAGTGGGCCTTAAATCAAGTCACGTCAGCATTTAACTGAGAAATTCATGCCAAGCTAACGGAAGGTATAACATTGGCACAAATTTGTAAGATGAGGTATGACATTGTCAATTTTAAAAGATGAGGTATGAAAGTGTCGTGACACCAATAGTTGAGGTAGTTTTTTGTACTTTACCCTAATTTCAAACTCTCACTCATTCATAGGAATTTGAAAATGACAATTTATAAATTCTGACTTATTTAAAGGGTAATGCTCAGAAAACTAAACTTTTAGAAAGAGTTTGTAAACTAAATGATGTGTCACCAATATGAATGAGCACGTTTATCAACGTTTAAGTCATAATCTAATAATTACCTTCCATGTTATTTTGTTTACAAATTTAGTCTCCCTAGCATCACTCTTATGAAAATTCTAAGTTTATTTCTCTTATCCAAACATAGTGTTAAGTTAATTCAAAAATAGAGGATTTGAATTTGCTCAGACTGCCTGGCTAGTAGCTCCAACTACTTTCTGCCTTTGGCTCGCGGCTCGAGGACTTGGGTCTCCTACCTGTGATATGTGGCTGCCGTAGCAGCGAAATGAGTTGCTGCAGCATGCTCCTGAGCTTCAGTTTGGGCTACTACTGCTGCAGTGGTCCTTGTCGTGGGCTGCAAGGTGGTGGCCACGGTGATGGGCTCCTCTTGTCGTCGTGTTGAGCTTAGAGGATCATCGTCGTGGGGCCACATCCTCATCTCTGCACACCGGTCCAAATTCTTTAACGTACGAGGTTCCGTTCGTTGTGGTTTCAGAATTTCCTACTATTGTATTCTTTTTCCAAAGAGTAATCAATAAACTTTTAATTTAAATGGTATGATGTGTGAGAAATTCAACGTAACAAAAAATTCCAAAAACCAATTGCGAGAGTCTTCTTTGAATATTTGAATCAAGCTCTCAATGAGAGGCCGTTTGGTATGCAGACGGGATGGAACGGGACGGGACGGGACGGGATGGGACGGGACGGAATAGTGGTTCCATGTGATGTTTGGTATGCGCAGGACAAAACGGGAGAGTTGTTTCGTTTTGCGTTTGGTAAGCGCAGGACGGAACGAAACCAAAACATTAAAATGACTAACTTACCCCTGTTTTGTCTGTTGTTTGGTACAATGTTTGGGACGGGACAGAACATTTTTTTTTTCTTCTTCTTCTTGCTGCTGCTTATCTATGATATATTTTGTACACTATATTTTTTTTCTTCTTCCTCGTCATGATCATTCCAATTACGTGAGATGGCCATATAATCTATCAAAGAAGCCATAATATTACATATGTAAAACAAAGAAACATATTGTTAGTGGAGCAAACATGATGCAATTAAGTTAATATCTGCCTACAGCTTTTTACAAAGCTAAATTACTTCCTATTGAAAAAGGTAATCCAGTGAACAATATATATGATCAATTAAAAGCAAATCCAGTGAATAATATATATGTTCTTTGTTTCACTGTTGTTTTGGGCAATATTGCAACTCTTTGGTTTTCATATGCAGCATCAATAGGCTAAAAGCATGTTATTCATATGCAACATCGCTGATGCAGCATCAGTAGTGCAGCATCACCGATGCAGCATCATAACCTGTTCATATTTGAAGACATATATGCTTTTCTATGATATATTTTTTATAGTAGCACATGGCTGAAGATATGTTATGCCATTTCTTGACTGAAGACGTGGCAGAAGAAGCAAAATGAAAAACAATGAATGACTAAAGATTGTATTCCTTGAACAATGAATGAATTACACACACACACATACACACAGAGAGGTGTTTGTTATTTATACAAGTATTCTTTGCTTCCCTCATAAGCTACTAACCAACTATCTTCCTTATATCCCTACAAACCCCAACAAACTAACAGCCTTCCTACAATCTCAACAAAGTAATTGCCTTGCTGATGTGTAACCTTCATGCTGATGTGTTTGTAGAGTCATACTAATGTGTACATATCAATCAACAGACCCATGACTTGAAGCAATAACTTCATTGGCAAATACTTAGTAGATACTTTACAAGAGAAAAAAAAAACATTAAAAGGGTAAAGACCACTGTAGGGAACATCTTGTACACCACTTTCAGAATCTCATCAAATACTTGAAGAAACTTGCAGGGAACATCTTATACTCATTTTTCCGTTCTTGCAATTACCTCCACCTTAAAATCTGGTTTTTCCCAAACAAGTTCCTTCTAGTCCCCACAATCAGTGATGTCAACATGCCAATCATGTGAAAGAAAAATATCAATTGGTTCCTCAACTTGCATGAGTTTGTGGAAATCATACTCAAAAACATGATACAATGACCTGATAGTATGACCATTATAAGGAGGCCTCTCAAAGTGTCCAGCTCAAAGAAAAAAAAAAATGAACCGCTTTCAAACATTTAACACCATATATCAAATTGCACATACCATCATCGCTATATTTACAATAATAGCAAAACATAAACAGCTATTGTTTTACCAACAAAAGATAAGCAATGAAGTAAACACCAATTCGAAGGTTTTCGAACTTGACTACACCAGCAAACCCCAAGAAGTATATATTAGGTGTTGCCCATCTTCCATAGTACCTATACAAATAGCAAAAACAAGTAAAAAACCAGCAACAATCATTCATCCGAAGCGAAAAAAACGACACGAAAAACAATTGGAAGAGAATGCCATAGATTATAGTTAAAGAAGGGACTCACAATTCCCATAAGTAATTAGAAGCCTCGTGATTCCCATCGATGAATATGGTCGGGTATAGAGCCACTGCCTCACCAGAATAGTATTTCCAAAATGTGTTCATGCTCCGGAATTTACGAGGCACTGAACCCACTAAATCACACAGCTCGGAACCAGATCCAATTCTTTACAAACAAGAATCGTAATAAAACTTAAAAATCAGACTTTGTTCTTTTTTCCAAGCACAAGTTAAACCAGAAAAATCAAGAAAACTTACTTATTTTCTCATAATCATCCTATTTTCCATGGAAAAATCAAGAAAACGAACCTGGAGATGCAGCGGTTACGGGAGAAGATCGAGATCAAACCTGGAGATGCAGCGGCTACAGGAGAAGATCAAGATTGAACCTGGAGATACAGCTGCTACGGGAGAGGATGAGGAGGAAGGCTACGGGAAAAGGCAGCGCAGGTAGAGAAGATGGAACGAAGAAGATAGAATTTTAGGGTTTGTTTTTTTTATGGTGTAAATATTGAAAAAGATAAGGGGTATTTTTGTCTTAAAATGTTATAATTTTGTGTTCCACGGATATGGAACGAGTCGTTCTAGCGGGTCAGGCGGAACGAAAATTCATCCAAAACTCGTCCTGTGGAACAGCGCGTTCCACCCGTTTTAGACGCACCAAATGTGGGACGAAACGCCTCGTCCCACTCCGTTTCGTCTCGTCCCGCGTACCAAACGCACCCTGAAGGCACCAATTTGTGGTAGTGAATTTTCGCCGTCTTCAATCTTGACGAAAATGTACCTACAAAACAATCAACATTTTTGATCAAAAACCTAAGTCTTATCCGAGGTTAGGCCAATGGATCTTGAATGTCTAAGTTAGTTTCTCTTGAAAAGAGTAAGTGCTAGGGCTTTTAGGGTAGCTAATGCTTACCGAAATTTGGTAGAG